GCCGGGCCCCACACGTCCATGTGAAGCGTCTGCAGCGGGGCCTCTGTCGGAGGAAACTGGGAGGAGTGAGGGGTAGCCCGCTGTCGTCCCTCGACACAGGGGACGCAGGTAGGGCCAGGCCCCGGAGGAAGTGGAGGGAGGGACCGGGGAAGACCAGAGACAAGGACACGGGAGGCCATGCTCCGGAGACGAAGCAGGGAGGGGTGACCAAGGCGGTGGTGCCAGAGGAGAGTCTCGTGAGACAGGAGGCGACACGAGCAGGGGGCAGACTCAGGACCAGACCTGGACGCTGCAGCAAACACCTGACCCGACGCAGCTACCTGACCAGACGCAGGGACTGGAGGAGACGCAGTGGTCAGTGTGTACAGGCTCGACCCCGGCCGACGTGTAAACGTGGCCAGGTGTCGGCCTGTCCGAGCGTCCGTGCAGTGGGTCACCCGCTGACTCGCAGGAGTGAACTGGTGAACCCCCGCATCCTGTAGGTCAGCACCACTCACCAAGTTCGTAGAGAACGAGGGGAGGTAAAGACCAGACAGGGTGCCAGAGGGGGCCGCCGGACACGGGAGGACAGTGGAGAAGTGAGCAAGGACAGGACCCCCAGAGGGGTCTGCCAGAGAGACCGCAACTGGCCGGCCAAGCGGCGTGAGTGTGGTGCGGTCTCGAAAGAAGGAGCGAGAAGCCCCCGAGTCAAGGGTGAAGGTGTGGGAGGCCGAAGCCGACGCAGAACCTGAGAGAGCAGACTCACCAGTACCTGAGGGAGCAGACGCACCTAGAGCATCAGCCTCGCTAGCACCTAGAGCAGCAGCCTCACCAGTACCTAGAGCAGCAGTCTCAATGCCCGGGTCGGGCGGAAAACACCGGTAACAGTCACCCTCATCACTAATAGTCACAGTATACATGGCAGCAAGAATAGCATCAAAGTCAAGGTCAAAGACAGCTACACCCGCCCTAGACAGCTCACCCCAGCGGGGGATCTCAGTGGCCTCAGGGAACTGGTGACGCCAAGCGTCCGTCAGGCGGCCAAAGCAGCGCTGGGTGGAGTGCGCACCTCCGCACTGCTCACCCGCGCGGTCGCCGGTGCGCAGGACGTAGGTGCACGGACCAGTACCCCCACCCCTCTGGCGTGCAGTGTACCACTCACGGAGCTGCTGAGGGGAGGGGACGTCACGAGTGCGCTGCTGCTGCTGCTGCTGCTGCTGCTGCTGCTGGCGCTGACCACCACCGGAGCTGACCCTCTGCGCAGCGCCACCCCGACCAGCTCCACCTCCTCCGCCGCCTCCTCCTCCACCGCCGCCACCTCCGCTCCCTCCGCCACCGCCGCTGCCGCCTGCGCCTCCACTGCCGCCACCTACACCTCCACCCCCGCCACCACCCCCACCGCCACCCCCACCTCCTCCACCGCCTCCACCGCCGCCTCCACCGCCCCCGCTAGCTCCTCCAGCGCCCCTGCCCCCCTTGCCCTTGCCAGGGTGGCGTCTCCCGCTAGGGGTAGACGCTGCCCCAACCGACTCCAAACCAGCGAGGTCGGCCGCAGCAGCAGAGGCAACAGAGGGCAAAAGAGGGGAGGGGGAACACCCCTCAAAGATGGGGGTGCGAGGGTCACCACGAGAGGCTCCTACAGCGACTATGCTCTTTTCTGCTGCTAGGAGGGCCTTCTCGAGGAGGTCAACGGTGAGAGTGGTGGGGCAAACCGAGAGGAAGTGGTCCCTGACTACGCGAAGGGAGTCAGGGAGACGGGTGACTATGTAGTAGAGGGTGATGTACATGGGGGGGGGGTTCTTGGCGCAGAACTCAGCAGGAAGCGCAGCGCGGTAGCGAGTGTCACTAGTGCGGAGGTGCGTAATGAGGTCAGCGACTGTGGGAAAGGCAGCAAGGTCAGGGAAGAGGTACGGTAGCATGAGGCGACTCAGTGCAGCAGTGGCAGGGGAGGAGTAGCGTGCAACTACAGCGTCGTACAAGGTCTGAGCACTCTTGTACTGGCTAAAGTGCGCACGCTCAGAGGTAGGTAGGTGGCGACGCACAGCAAGACGTGCAGCAGCATCGCGCGTGGCCCACTGTGAGCGAACAGTGGCGTCAGCATCAGCAGCGGGGGCAGGAGAGGCACCAGAAGTGAGGTCAAAGAGGGAGAGGCCGTCTGCTCTGTCGCACTGTAAGAAAAGCTGCAGGTCATCTATCCAGACGTCAAAGTCAATGGCCCGACCCTCAGCGTCAAAAGCGAGGACACTAGGGGTAGCCATGACAGCAGTAGACTAGCAGTGCAAACAGTAGGGTGAGGGCAGTGCTGTGAGAGAGGCGCTGCTCTTACCGGACAGGGCGGCTCGGGCGGCTCGGCTGCAGGGCGGCTCGGCGACTCGACGGCTGGGCGGCTCGGCTGCTGGGCGGCTCGGCGGCTTGGCTGCTGGGCGGCTCGGCTGCTGGGCGGCTCGGCGGCTGGGCGGCTCGGCTGCTGGGCGGCTCGGCTGCTGGGCGTATCGGCGGCTGGGCGGCTCGGCTGCTGGGCGGCTCGGCTGCTGGGCGGCTCGGCGGCTGGGCGGCTCGGTTGCTGGGCGGCTCGGCGGCTCAGCGGCTGGGCTGCTCGGTTGCTGGGCGGCTCGGCGGCTGGGCTGCTCGTAGGAGTAGGCGCGGGGGCCGTAGGAGCAGGCGCCGGGGCCGTAGGAGCAGGGGCCGGGGCCGCTAGTGCGGCGGATCGGGGCCGCGAGGGCGGCGGATCGGGGCCGCGAGGGCGGCGGAGTAGGGGCCGCGAGGGCGGCGGAGTAGGGGCCGCGAGGGCGGCGGATCGGGGCCGCGAGGGCGGCGGATCGGGGCCGCGAGGGCGGCGGAGTAGGGGCCGCGAGGGCGGCGGATCGGGGCCGCGAAGGGCGGCGGATCGGGGCCGCGAGGGCGGCGGAGCGGGGCCGCGAGGGCGGCGGAGTAGGGGGGGGGGCCGCGAGGGCGGCGGATCGGGGCCGCGAAGGGAGGCGGCCGGCGCCGCGAGGGTGGGGCCGCGGGGTCGCTAGGGTAGGGCGACAGAGCCGCGAGGGCGGCTCGAAGGGGCCGCGAGGGCGGCGCGAAGGGGCCGCTAGGGCGGCGCGAGAGAGGGGAGCGCGACTCGGGCAGGGGCTGAGTGCGCTCCGGGCAGGAAAAAAAAAAAAAACGGTGGGCCCTAGGAACAGTTCCCACGAGGGAACCTGCTCGATACCATGAGAAGAAACAAGGAATGAATGAACTATGAATGAATTGGGTACAAGTACTAACCCTAATTGGGTTGTACCCCTTATGGGCTACCCCACTATAGCCTACACAATATGCATGAGCTATAATATTCTGACACTGTATGCACTGCTAGCGCCACACGGCGGAGCGAGGGGAAACGGGAGAGCGGAGTGGGCGTAGCGAAAAGCAGATGTACATGAGACTACTCGTGTGAAGAGTTGTAGGTTAGAAGACTGCAACCGCCCACCCATCCACCCACCCTCCCACCTACCCACCCACCTATCATCCAGTGCTGGATATATAGTGTCACATCTTCTTCACCCTTCCCTTTCCCCCATTCCTTCCGCGCCTCGCCTCCCACTCTCGCCCCGCCTCTGCTGCCAGCTCAAACAGGTCTGCCCGACGCAACCCCACCTCCCCTACCACTCCTCTTGCGGCGTCATCAAACGGTCTTGCGCCTAGTGCCATTCCCCTTTCATTCCCCGCATTCCTGCCCTCACTCCCCCCGCCTTCTCCGCCTCCGGAAACAATGGCGGAGAGGAGGGAGGTTTGGAGGGGGGGAAGGAAGAGGCGACGTAGACAGGCGAGCGCGAGGGCGGCGGAGAGCCCTGCAAGAGCGTGCAGCCAGGGGGAAGCGGGGAGACGCATGGCGAGGGAAGCGCGCAGCTACAGGGAGGCGAATGGGGAAATTGCAGAGCGCGATGAAAGGCAAGGGGGATGACCCCGCGAGTTTTTTTCGGATAGGAAAGGCAAGCAATGCGCTTTCGTTGTGAGACGAAAAGAGGCTCTCGCATGCTAGTGTGATGTTTTAGAAAAGGAAACAAGGATGGAGAAGAGGGGCATCGATCCCCATACCTTTCGCATGCTAAGCGAGCGCTCTACCATCTGAGCTACATCCCCACATCGAATTACAAAACAAAAATATAAGTTCTCGTTTTTGCTTCTCGCACTGCCACACATCAACAGCGCTCCCTTTTCTCGCTTTATCCGTCTTGTAAACCTTGTGTGCCACGCCGCGCGCTCTTTGCAGCCTGCTGACTCGTGGATTGCTCGAGAGGTATGGTAGGCGTAGTGACACCGACCAGAGTGTCTCACGCGTACTGCTCTACTCCTCGTCAAGCCCGTCGGCCCACCATCTCTCTCGTCGGCCTGCCGCCTTTCCCATCGCCCCCCCATCCCTTTTGCTGATGTCTTCTTCCCACGCGCGCCGGTCCGTCGCATTGAGCACCTGCCGCCTGCCTGCCATCCCGCGTGATGGCGGCTCGCGTTGCCCATCTCTCGCCTCCCTCGCGCTGATAGCTTTGTCTCCCACACTCAGGCGGTGAACTCGCCAACAGCGGCGATGAGTTAGCTTGTGAGGAAATACCTTGTACGCACCACACACCCACAAGCGCGCATAGCCTCTACTCGGGATGCTTCCACATCGCCGCTCCTGCCTCGTTCGTCTCACGCGGCCCCCCCTCTCCCCTCATCTCCCCCTCTCCCTTCATCTCCCCCTCTCCCTTCATCTCCCCCTCTCCCTTCATCTCCCCCTCTCCCTTCATCTCCCCCCCTCCCTTCATCTCCCCCTCTCCCTTCATCTCCCCCTCTCCCCTCATCTTCCCCTCTCCCCTCATCTCCCCCTCTCCCCTCATCTCCCCCTCTCCCCTCATCTCCCCCTCTCCCTTCATCTCCCCCTCTCCCCTCATCTCTCCCTCTCCCCTCATCTCCCCATCTCCCCTCATCTGCCCCCACTTCCCTAATCTCCCCCCTCTCCCGTCTGTTTCCACCCCACCCTCTCCCATTCCGCCCATCTCCCCGCTCCCAAGGAATGCCAGGCATGCGCTGCGTGTGCCGTGTTGCTTTCCTCTCCGTGTCGCTCACATCGCCACGCCATGCTGCTGGGCGCCGCACCAAGCCACGCCATGCCTGTGTCGTCTTGCATCTCTGCCTGCGCACCGGGGCTGCCTGCCCACCCACCTCTGCCACCACCGCCACAGCAAGCGCCGCCACGTCATCAGGTGCCGCCATGCCGCCATGACTCACCCTCATCCGCGCCGTCCTCACGCGCCACCTCGCGTCGCCGCTGCTGCGCCTCGCCCCCCCCCTCTCTCGCCTCTTCAAGTGTGGAGCATGGCATGCGGGTCGTGGCGGACTCCACCCCGAGCGCAACGGAACTCTGTGTGGATTGGATTCAGCAGACTCACTAACGACCAGCAACACCATTCCAGCTCAAAAACAACTGCACCTACTCTTCCGCGGCAAGCTTCCTGGTATGGGTTTCAGAATTGCAACGGTAGATTGGTATGTCCACCACATTCAATAAGGGCGTATCCAACTTCGGGTCATAAGGCACTGTTTGGGTCATCAGTACACTTTGGGTCATGGGAGGACCAATGGTATTCGAGTAGTATAACCAAAATGCGCCTGATTGGTCGTCCAAGAATCTCGGATGACCCGAACAGTGCCGATGACCCGAAGTTGGATACGCCCTAAGTGACTTCCTCCCCTCTCGCCCGTCCAACAGGCTTCGACTACAACAAAGCTGTAAAGCATGCATCCGCAGCAACCATGCATCCGCAGCAACCATGCATCCGCAGCAACCATGCATCTGCAGCAACCATGCACCCGCAGCAACCATGCATCCGCAGCAACCATGCATTCACAGAGAATCACAACGTGTACTTCCATCAAGCCCTCGGCAACACACTCCGGGACGACAACTGGCAGAGCTCGTGCATGTGGCAGGCTGTGGCTGTGCTTCCCTTGAGCACAGTTGAGTGCAAGGGAGGCTTCCTTTGAGCACAGTCGAGTGCGAAGGAGGCTTCCCGAAGCAGAGTGTGATAAAGACTTCGGGTCGGGGGGCATTGGCGACATCAATCTAGGACATCTCATGCGATGCCTCCTGCTGGAGTAGCATGTCCACTGGTTTGACTTTGCTGCTGTGTTCATGGGGGAGGTGTGTCGGCTACATTAGGGTGGAGCAGGAGCAACCACGTTGGGATGGCAGCAGCCACGTTGCTGCAGTGCACGACAATTCAGCGTGGGTGAAGAAACGGGTTTTGGCTTTATGTGCTAGTGTAGCTCAAACTTTATCTGAATTTGGCCTGATTCCATAAATGTCGCCGAAAATTTTACACTGGGAGAACTTTCACCCTGATTGGCAAGAGTGACAGAAGTCCAATTTTTTCCCTGGACTGGACCCTTCATTCCCAAGCAGCCATGACATCTACGCCCAGGAGAGGGCCTGGGAGCGTGTGACGGGGGCAGCTTCAGTCAGTCCTGAGGTGCGAGCTAGTCTGCCTTGTTTGCTTCGGCGATCAGCGCATGCAGAATGCAAAACACGTCCTTGCGGTTCTCCTCCCGGTGGCGGTACCTGTAGTGCGCCGTCCATGCACATGGCCAACCATCCCCATGCACATACATGTACGCACGCACATACATGCACGCACGCACACACATGCACGCACGCACACACAGGCACGCAAGCACATACATGCATGCGCGCGCGCGCGCGCGCACACACACACACACACACACATGCACACATACATGCATACGAGCAAGCACTATGAAATCTCATGACCAAAACCGAGTCCTCTTGCAGCTAAGGCCGCTATCACTGAAGGTCAATCAGGTGGCACGCACCTCTCGCTGACGATGGTGAGCTCGTCGCGGTGGGTGTTGTAGCGCCGCCCCAGCAGCGCGCGCTTGCGCTCCTTGGCGACGCGGGAGAGGTGCAGCTCGCCTCGCGCACCAACACGCTCACCTTCACCACGCGCTTCTCCGGGTGCCACGCGTCGCCTCCTGCCGGTAGCACAGCAGGGGGCAGGCAGGGTATGCAGGGGTTGTGGTGTGGGTGAGGTAATGAATGGAAGCATGCACGAATGATGGCAGCAAGGCAATGGCATGCAATGAAACATGGTAACACAACAACTCGTGTCCGAAGATGCGGGAGTATGAAAAAAAATCTGGAAAGATATCAAAAGCATACGGAGAAACATGGCGCCATGGCACAGTGGCAGCAGAGAGCAGCGGTGCATGCATGCATGCATGCGGTGGACTCACCCCGCCCCAGCACCATCAGTGTCTCCCATATCAACTAAGGACCCTCCCCCTCATCCTCCTCCTCCTCCCCATCGCCTCCTAACGCGTCCACTGCACAGAGAAGTTGCAGGATCCAGGACGACAACATGCGGGGAACAGCACAGCGGGTAAGCACAAAGGATAAGCACGGAGGGTGAGCACAGGGGTTAAGCACAAAGGGTAAGCACAGAGGGTAAGCGCAGAGGATAAGTACTGAGGTTGAGCACTGAGGTTTAGCGCAGAGAATAATTACTACTGAGGTTGAGCACTGAGTTTTAGCGCAGAGTATAAGTACTACTGAGGTTGAGCACTGAGGTTTAGCGCGGAGAATAAGTACTACTGAGGTTGAGCACTGAGGTTTAGCGCGGAGAATAAGTACTACTGAGGTTGAGCACTGAGGTTTAGCGCAGAGAATAAGTACTGAGGTTGAGCACTGAGGTTTAGCGCAGAGAATAAGTACTGAGGTTGAGCACAACGGGTCGGTATTGTATCAGAGAAGGAAAGGAGAGTGCAAGGAGTTTCACAGGTGTGGCGGGAACAAGTGCACCCTCTTAACCATGCCTCCACCTTCCGCACAAACCTATGTTCCTCTCTCCGCCTGCCTTCCTGCTCGTTCCCCTTGTGTAATCGTCCCTACCTGACAGCCCGGAGTGCAGGGTCGCCGAGCCACTGGTAGACCACCCCGCGCGCGGCGTAGAGGTGGCGGTGGTGCGCGGCGTAGAGGTGGCGGTGGTGCGCGGCGTAGAGGTGGCGGTGGTGCGCGGCGTAGAGGTGGCGGTGGTGCGCGGCGTCCGCGGGCTCCTCGAAGCCCTTCGCCGCCTCCGCCACGTCGTCCCCGTACATCCCGTACTGCCGCCGCCTCCGCTACCGCCCCGCCCCCACGCCCTGCACCGTCGCCAGATATGGCGCAATGGTCGCGGGCGGCGCTGGCGGGTTCGCGGGGGATTGGAAGGGCGAAGCGGGAGGGTTGGGGGCGGAAGGGGAATGGTTGGGAGCGGACGGAGAAGTGTCCCATAGTGTCCCAGGAGGGGGGTGGGTGATGGGTGAAGAGGGATCGTGACACGCAACGGGCGGCGACGTGGCCGCGAGCGGAGTGAGCAAGGGGAAGAAACACTCACACGTATCAGCCGCGTCAGCCACGTCACCCGACGCTTCTCCCTCCACCGCCACAGCTGCCGGTGGCAACTCGCCGCCCTGACCGTCGGTTTCGCTGCCATCATCTCCACCGCCTCCCGCGCCATTGACCGCGCTCCGCCTCCTCACTCCGCCCGTCCCCATTCCTAAACCCGTTTGTCCGCCTGCCACACTCAACCATCTCGAAGCGCCCGCGATTGAGAGGGTCTTGGGCGAATCAAGCGCAAGAGGTCGGCTTTCGTCGACGGCGCGAGAGGGCGTTTGCGGCGGGCATGCGGCCGAGTCGCATAGCTTGGATCTTGTCGCGGAGGTGACGCCAGGCGATGGGTGCGCGGAAGGGACGAGAGCTGCTGGGGAAGCGGCCGCCTGAGGCAAACGGCAGAAAGATCTGTGGACGGACGCGGACGTGACATGTCACATGGAGCAGACGAGTAGACATAAACGCAGCGTTGCGGATTGATGAGAGGCAGAATTGCGTTCAGGGAACGGAGCGAAGGTGTTATGGGCTGTGGAATTGGAAGCTTTGTTTGAACTCGTTTCAAATTGAGCTTCCGAGCGAAATCAGGCCTCAGCATGAATAATCTCTGCCATGTTTAGGGCGTGTCTTGCTTGGCGAAAGTACATTCTTTTGGGACTGTTACTCGATAACACCCTGTAACACGTGTCAGACAGACAGACAGACGGTCACTTCTGGATTCGTTTCTGATAGACGTTTGTTTGACGTGTCCGGTTTCGTGTGCATCACGCACCACGCAGTCGAGCACAAGACATGTATGTACACATTTCGGGATTTGCCAGTACAGAAGTAGCGAATATAACGAAGGCAACAACAAACTGGAGCCGCACCACATTGCCAAATTTTCCCGTGTATCGCGAAATATATGGAATGGAGAGACTTGCGGTTACAACCGCGGGGTTTTTCGTGCACTATGATGTTTTTTTTGTTCTGCACATTATCGAACGTATGCAAAATTGAACACGCTTGGCAAACGTGATCGCGAGCAGTCGACTGAAAGCTCGACGTGTGTTCAATATCCATGTTTGTTTCCCTTGATTTGGCCTGATGTTGACGAACGTCGCCATCCATACTCAACGAGATTCGCGAGACAGGATATCACTCTATGTTCGAGCAGTTTTTCGACCTTTGACCATCAAAGAAACGCGCCATAAGATGCCCCTTACACAGGAGCCGTACATATAACGGCGACCCGCCTGCTTATTCGGCATCAACGTACTCACCATTGAGGCCTCGTTCATGCGTTGGCCTAACATGTAGGTGCGGAGTGACCGTTGCCAAGTCACCGTTGCAGAGTTATAGTCGCGGATTCACTGGTACTAATAAATTCGCAGGAGTCTTACACTGGGCTAGAGCAGCCGCAATAAAGTTCCGAATAGAGGACCTCGGCGTGTACTTCCCGTACGAGTACATCTACCCGGAGCAGTACGAGTACATGGTGGAGTTGAAACGTACGCTGGACACCAACGGCCACTGCGTGCTGGAGATGCCGATGGGCACGGGCAAGACCATCACACTGCTGTCACTCATCACATCGTACCAGATGGCGCGCAAGGGCACGGGCAAGCTCGTGTATTGCCCGCGCACCGTGCACGAGATGGAGAAGGCGCTCGCCGAGCTCCGCCTGCTGCACGCCTACCAGCAGACTGCGCTCGCAGGGAAGCCGCCGCCGCCGCCGGCGCGGGGGGAAACAGCGCAGGGGGGAAAGGCGCGAGCGGAGTCCCGCGGATATTAGCCCTGGGGCCGAGCTCGCGCAAGAACCTGTGCATCCACCCGGTGGTGGCGGGCGAGGGATCGCGCGCAAGAACCTGTGCATCCACCCGGTGGTGGCAGTCGAGGGGTTGCGCGAGAGCGTGGACGCGGGGTGCCGCAAGTGCACGGCCTCTTGGGTGCGCGCGGCCGCGCTGGAGAACCCCGACATCGAGGTCTGCACCTACTTTGACCAGTTTGACCGCAAAGGACAAGAAGCCGCTCTGCTGCCCGGAGTGTAAACGCTCCAGGACCTGCGGGTGTTTGGGCGGAAGAAGGGGTGGTGCCCGTATATCCTGGCACGACATATGATCAATTTCGCTAACGTGGTGGTCTACAACTACCAGTACCTGCTGGACCCCAAGGTGTCGGGGATAATCTCGCGGGAGCTGGAGCGGGAGAGCATTGTGGTGTTTGACGAGGCCCACAGCATCGACAACGTGTGCATTGAGGCTTTAAGCGTCAACGTGCGCCAGCAGACCATTGATGGCGCGAACAGGAACCTCGCCCGGCTCAACACAACCGTTAAGCCGTGAGACGCGGGAGAGCGTCCTTGGAAAGCTTGTTCGCCTCGGTATGTGGATTGAGAGGTGAGGGCAGGGAGCAGCAGAGGAGGAAAAGAGGGCGAGGAAGGGCAGAGTGAGAGTGGCGGTCTACAGAGTCGTTTTGTGACCCAAGATTGCGCAATCATTGCGATTCTGCTGCGCAATCCTAAGGTGCAGTGCACGTTTATTTGCGATGCGGCTGTCAGGTTCGAGGCAAAGGATGCAGAGAGGCTGAAGGAGGAGTACCAACGACTGGTGGATGGACTGGCGCAGAGAGGCAACCTGCCAGGTGAGGTCATCGCCACCCACCGTACTTGCCATAGCCACTCGCGAGGAACAGAGAGGAAGATTGCCAGGTGCTTGAGAATATGGTCTCAATGCCATTTGCTTGCCACCAGCACTCACTCACTCACGCACAATACTCCATCTCCTTCTCCCTTTCCCTGCTCGCTCCAACTCATCTCTCCTCTCCTCCCTCTCCTCTCCCCATTCTCCCCTCTCCCTCCTCCGCTGTCTCGCCTTTCCCGTCGTCCCACTCCCCTCGCTTGTGTTTCTTCTCCCCTGCCCCTCGCACACCCACCACCTTGGCGCTCCCACCCACCTCCCACAAAGTCCATCTCACCACCTCCTCCCTCAGTCACCCCACCCAACTCCTACCAAGCTAACCAACCAACCATCTACTCTCTCATCAACTCACCCTACCCACCTATCTCCCCATCCGCACCAGCCCGCCAATCAGCATCGGACATGCGGCTGGCAAACCCACTGCTGCCAGCGGACATCCTACAGGAGGCGATGCCGGGCAACATCCGCCATGCCGAGCACTTCCTCGCCTTCCTGCGCAGATTCCTCAGCTACCTGCAGACGCGCCTCAACACCACGCGCGTCGAGTCCGAAGGGCCCCTCGCCTTCATGCATGCCCTGCAGGCGAGTGAGTCAAAGCCACTCCATACAGCGGCCCTCGTTCCGTGCGTCACCTGCACTTGTTCTCTTTACATCCCACGACAGGAATGCTATGGCTGAACGTTCCATTCATGTGTGAACCTTCCTACATGCCTGCCCTGCCCGCATGCATGTGTGCCACAGGAAGCAACGGGCATAGAGAGCAAGAGTCTGCGGCTGTGCTACGACCGCCTGCAGGCGCTGCTGCTTGAGCCTTGAGGGGACTTATAACTCCCCCCCCCCCCCTTCTGCATAACCCCCCTCTTGCACACCGCAGGCAGCGACGGGCATAGAGAGCAAGAGTCTGCAGCTGTGCTACGACCACCTGCAGTCGCTGGTGCTGACGCTACAGGTGGCGGAGGTGGACGAGATGGGTCACGTGCAGTGCGTGTGTGACATCGCCACGCTCGTGGGCACGTACACGCGGGGCTTCGCCATCATCATCGAACCCTATGATGAGCGACAGCCACAACTAGCTGACCCCGTGCTGCAGGTGCGTCACTGTGTGTAGGGTGGTGCTGCAGTGCAGGTGTGTGTGGGGTGGCACGTACATGCGGGGCTTCGCCATCATCATCGAACCCTTTGATGAGCGACATCCGCAACTAGCTGACCCCGTGCTGTAGGTGAGGTGGTGCTGGTAGGTAGGGTGCTTTGGGTGAGGTGGCGCTGCTATTTTTTCCCTTTCATGCCAGCTCGATTCCTATGCCCTACTCAATCTTGCTCTCTCTCCCCCTCTCTTTCCTTCTCTTACTTCTCTCTCTTGCTCTTTCTCCTGTTCCCATATCCCCTTTCGATCACTCAAGCTCTCTACTTCCTCTCCCCTTCGCCCCACCCCTCACCACCCACCTTGCCTGCAGCTGAGCTGTCTGGACGCCTCACTGGCCATCCGGCCCACCTTTGAGCGGTTTCAGAGTGTGATAATAACGAGAAGCATGCTGAGCCCCATCGACCTGTACCCGCGCCTGCTCAACTCCACCCCGTCTGCATCCGCTCCCTCTCCATGTCGCTCTCGCACGACTGCCTCTGCCCGCTCGTCGTCACACGTGGCAGGTAAAGAAGCGTTGCCATGCGTAGGGGTGTGGGAGGGTTGTCGCGTGTGAGAGGTGAGGGAGAGTTGTGATCCTATGAGGAGGTGATGAATGTGAGAGAACTTTTCGTGCCCTCTTGTTCTCAAGCTATGAAGCAAGGAAGGTGAATTGTGAGTGGTGAGGCTGGACTTTATCTGCGTTCTCTTCCACTGCTCCTACCACATTTCACCCCAAAGTGTCATTCCTGAACCTTACTAACTCTGTTGAACCTGTTGGCCCTGCCCCCACCAGCGACCATCTGCCTCTCAGCACGCGCTTTGATATGCGCAGCGACCCCGGTGTCGTGCGCAATTATGGCCGCCTGCTCGTCGACATGGCCGGGTGCGTGCCGGACGGCATCGTTTGTTTCTTTGTAAGCTACGCATACATGGACGGCATCATGAACAGCTGGAACGACATGGGCATCCTCAAGGTGGGCTCAGGGCTTGGGAGTTGGGGTGTCAGTTGTCTGGTACATGGTACCACCGACAAGGTACATGTACAAGGATTCATGTTTAGGTTCTATGTGGTGAAGGTGTAGGTGGGGAGAGAAGGATATGGGCGTTCTGAAGGTTGGATTGGGGGAATGGCCGTTATTATGCGTTAATGGTATATCCCATGCAATACCGCATCGTCTATCCCATGCCATGATGTGAGCACAAGGGCGAACACCTATTCGGTTTGCCTCGAACATGTTTGTGGCGACCCGAACGTGTCGTTCTATTTTGCCAAGAATGCTCGGCCGAACATGTTCGATGTTCACGGATTTGGTAGCCATCTGTTTCAAGCCTAGGCTGTTATTTAGGCATAGATGGCGACGCATGGCCCTGGAGGTGGGAGAAAAGGGGGGGGGGGGGGGGGGGGGGGGGGGGGTTTGGAGAGGCGACGGGGAAGGAGCTGGCCCATTGAGAACACACTCTTGAACCCCAACATGTTCGGATTCGCCCCTAACATGCACATGTTCGCCCCCTATCGCGAACCTCGAACACCCTTAATCACCGGAAACTGTTCGGGCAACCCGAACATGTTCGGTTCACCCCCTTCACATGTTCGTGCAGGCGAACCGAACATGTTTGGTGTTCGCCCGTTGCTCATGTCCCATGCTATATCCCATAACATATTCCATGCCATATCCCGTGCCGTACTCCCTGCCCTGTCAGACGCCATGCCCCATGCCCTATCCCAGCCCATTCCCCATGCCATGCCCCATGCCACCCCATGTGTCATGCGCCCCATACCTCTTCCAATGCCCCATTTCCCATGCCCCACCGCATTGCACCCCTCTCCACCAGGAGGTGATGGAGCACAAGCTGGTGTTCATCGAGACACAGGACGTGGTGGAGACCACGCTCGCCCTCGACAACTACCGCCGCGCCTGTGACTGCGGTCGCGGAGGGGTCTTCTTCTCCATCGCCCGGTGACCTCTCCATTGCCAGGTGTGTGATAAGCACCCCTCCGTGTACATGCGGCCGTTAAGCACACAGTGATTGTGTGCTGCATGACAAGGTGCCGCATGCTGCCTTATAAAGTACCTTGCGCTGACATTCACTGCCGTACAAGGTGGCCTAGTTTTGCACAAGACATCAAAATGACATTCGTTGGATTTTTGTGCTCGAATGGTTTTTCCCCAAGTCCCCCAAGTCCCCCAAGTCCCCCAAATCCCCCAAGTCCCCCAATTCCCCCAATTCCCCCAACTCCCCCAACTCACCCAAGTCCCCCAAGTCCCCCAACTCCCCCAACTCCCCCAATTCCCCCAATTCCCCCAATTCCCCCAACCGGGGAATTGGAATGACCGAGGCATGGAATAGGAATGGCGCACAGGCACAGAGTAGGAATGGCGTAGAAGCACGAAATTCGAATGGCAGAAGCATGGAATAGGAATGGCAGAGGCACGGAATAGGAATGGCAGAGACATGGAGAGGAGACAAGTGGAATTGAAAACTAAACACACCCCTTACCTGCCCTGAGTCACGCTGCACCCACGCTTGCGTCGTTGCAAGCTCGCACCCCACTTGCCCAAACCCGAGACGCCTGAAAAATCGAGTCAATAGAGGGGAGAAGGGGCGGGGGAGCCAAAGAGCGGGGCATGCATTAGCGGGAGAAAAAGCTCAAGGCACGCGAGCGAGTGGATCACCGAGGTATGCCGGTACAAGGTCCTGCCTAGCCAGGCCAGGCCGAACCTGATTGGTCAGGCTGGCTGGGTTCGGTCAGACTAGCCTGGCTCGGCCGAACCTGCTTGGTCAGGTCAGGCCTCGGTAACCCCGACCTCACCGGTCCGGCTCGGCCGGGCCTGATTGGTCAGGCCTGGCCTCAATGGAGGCACGCTATAGGGATGGCGCAGATGCACGGAATAGGAATGGCGCAGAGGCACGGAATAGGAATGGCGCAGAGGCACAGCATAGGAATGGCGCAGAGGCACGGAATAGGAATGGCGCAGAGGCACGCAATAGGAATGGCGCAGAGGCATGGAATAGGAATGGCGCAGAGGCACGGAATAGGAATGTCGCAGAGGCACGGAAATGGAATGGCGCAGAGGCACGGAATAGGAATGGCGGAGAGGCACGGAATAGGAATGGAGCAGAGGCGCGGAATAGGGTTTGCAGAGGCATGCCATATGAATGGCGCAGAGGCACGGAATAGGAACGGCAGAGGCACGGAATAGGAATGGCAGAGACACGAAATAGGAATGGCAGACGCACAAAATAGGAATGACAGAGGCACGGAGAGGAGTTCAGTGGAAGACAAAAGTTACTCACAAAAAAACCCACAAAAAAAAACAAAACAAAAACCCCAAACCAAACTAACAAACAAACAACCAACGGACACGAGGCAACCTTCCCCCCGGTGGAGGTCCGGCCGGGCATCCACTGATTCGGCCGAACCAACCACCAGTTTTGCCGGACCTCCCCCAGGTCCGGCCGGACCTCCACCGGGTCCGCCGGGCCTCCATCAGGTCTGGTTGGACCTCCATCGGGTCTGCCGGGCCTCCATCAGGTCCGGTCGGACCTCCACCGGATCCGTCGGACCCACGTCAGGTCTGGCCGAACCTCCGTCGGGTCTGCCGGGCCTCCACCGGGTCTTTTGGGCCTCCACCGGGTCTGCCGAACCTTCAATAGGTTTGGCCGGACCTCTGCCGGGTCTGCCGGACCTACACCAGGTCTGTCCGGACCTCCGGCGGGCCTGTTGTCCCTCCACCAGGTCTGGCTGGACCTCCGCCGAGCCTGCCGACCAACCATCAGGTCCGGCCGGACCTTCGCCGGGCCTGCCGACCAACCGCCAGGTCCGGCCGGACCTCCGCCGGCTCTGCCAAGCCTCCAACAGTTCCGGCCGGTTCTCCGCCGGGTCTGCCGAACCAACCCCGGGTCCGCCGGACCTACACCAGGTCTGGCCGGACCTCCGACGGGTCTGCCGAACCTCCAATAGGCCTGGACGGACCTCCGCCGGGCCTGCCGAACCTCCAACAGGCCTGGACGGACCTCCGCCGGACCTACACCAGGTCCGACCGGACCTCCGCTGGGCCTGCCAGACCTACACCAGGTCTGGCCGGACCTTCGCCGGGCCTGCCATGCAGGGATAGCATTTCAGTCCGCTATCCAACTGGGATAAAAGGGCATGTTTGCATAGCGGGTGACTGCGCCCACGCCTCCCAAGCGCCAAGCTTGTAGCCCTTCTGGCCAAACTAGAGGCCAATCCCAATGTCCTTTCCACACTCTCCTCATTAAGAGCGGCCTCAGCCAGAGGAAGAAAAGTTCACTCTCACTCCACTGAAAGCGACGACAGCGGATTCGAACCCTGGCCCCCCGGACAACGAATCCAGTTCACTAACCAGCTGGGTCAAAGGGCATGTTTTCTTGGTGGGTCAGCGCACCCATACCCCCCCAGGACGACACCTGTAGCCCTTGGAGAGACCACTTCGGGCCATTCCAGTGTCCACTTCCAACACTCCCCACACTGGGAGGGCCCACCACTAGGGCACAGGAAGTTGCCGACAGCATGAATTGAACCCCGGTCCTCCACGCTCACCGCACCATGCAGGGATAGCATTCCAGTCCGCTAACCAACTGGGATAAAAGGGCATGTTTGCATAGCGGGTGAGCGCGCCCACGCCTCCCAAGCGCCGAGCTTGTAGCCCTTCCGGCCAAACCAGAGGCCAATCCCAATGTCCTTTCCACAGGCCGGACTTCCGCCGGCCCTGCCGACCCTTCACCAGGTCCGGCCGGACCTCCGCCAGGCTTGCCAACCAACCACCAGGTCTGGCCGGGCCTCCGCCGGGCCTGCCAGGCCTCCGTCAGGTCCGGCCGGACCTGGTGGGTCTGCCGGACCTCCACCGGTTCTGCCACGCCGCGCGCCACATTGCCTCACACGCCACGTCACACCCACCCCGCCGCCACGTCACACCCAAACCACCTCACCGCCACGTCACACCCAAACCACCTCACGCACGGAATAGGGATGGCAGAGGCACGGAATAAGAATGGCAGACGCACGGAATAGGAATGGCAGAGGCACGGAATAGGAATAGCAGAGGCACAGAATAGGAATGGCAGAGGCACGGAATAGGAATGGCAGAGGCACGGAATAGGAATGGCAGAGGCATGGAATTGCAAGGGGGTTGAATAGGAAAGGTGACGGGTTGCAAAGAGACGAACCTCGCCGATCCGTGCCAATGGGGAGCGCCTTGCGCTATAGCGTGTGGTGTTGCGTGCTCTGCCGCTGCTGCGTGCACGCTCTGTGGTGCTCCACGCTCTGCCGCTGCTGCGTGCACGGCACGTGCAGTCGTCTACAGAGCAGGGCGCCAGAGAGAAGAGTGGGGAGAATCGGGTGAGCAAGGGTGAGAAGACGACGAGGCGAAACGTGGGCAGAATGGGGTGCGGAGAGATGAGGCAAGGACAGGGAGGGGAGGTGTTAGAGGGGACGTGGGGCAAGAGGAGATTGAAGCCGCACGCAAGGTACTCGTGGCACGTGAGAGGGGGTGGGACGAGATGTGGGACGTGGTGGGGGAAACATGTGGCATGGTGGCATGGGCACACAGCACACTGCAGCACGCCAATGCCAATGTCGTTAATGGCACTGGGTGCAAACGCCTGCTCCAACACCTAGCATTGGGTTTAGTATCGCTGCCCGAGGGCTCTGCTCGCAAAAGCCTCGCGCGCCGCTAATCGCGTAAGAAGTGCGCAGCGCGCTGCTGATCGCGGAAGACGTGCGCAGCGCGCTGCTGATTGCGGAAGACCCGCGGGCAGCTGTTCGCCGGAGCCGCGTGCTGCAGCGGTAGAACGGGAATCCGAAAAGGTTGTTGGAACAAATAAGTCGAATAGTCAGATTGGTGGAATCGACGAAATGTCATGAATCCTAAGGCAGGCGGAATCAGCGCGAGGGGACGGACGGTGGAGACGATTTTGATTAAAAAAAAAAAAATGAAACAAACAAACAAACAGCGCGCAATGGCGCAAGTGCTGCAGCAGCGAGCGCAAGTGCCGCTGCAGCGAGCGCAAGTGCTGCTGCAGTGCGCGCCACCTAATATGGCGCTTGTAACAGGTGCTACGTCGCTCACATGGCCACGTCCCGCGTTCCTCCAAATACTACCCGCCTTCCTCCCGTTGATTCTCGCAATTCTTCCTGAAATTGAGGATCGCGTCTGAGATGAAAACTAGGGATGACGAGGTCCCTCGCGCGGAGCACGGATGGGCAACGGGCTGCAATGCCGGCTTCACGCGCCGCTCGCCCCTCCGCCGGCAGATCGGCCCTCTCATCACGCAACCTCGCGCTCCTCTCGAGCTCTCATCGCAACACATCGTTTCGTGAATAAAAAAAAACGAGAGCGTGAATTAGGTTGGAAGAAAGTACATTCTGAAAAAAGGCAGCCGACGCAATGGCCGAGCTGAAGCGGATTTGGGACCTAAAGTCAGCTTGAAAAGGGATGTCGGTTCCACCTAACTAGTAGCGTGAGTAGTGAGTAGTTGCGTGTGGACTGGTGAGTAGTAGCGGGAGTGGTAGTGTAGTAGCTGCTGAATAAGTGCATGTGGATGGTAGGTGTCGGGAGAAGGTGAGGGGACGTGAGGAGAAGCACAGGTCGACGAGGGGTAACAGGCAACGACAAAATAAAAAGAAACATGTTAGGACGAGGTGCAGATCGGGCGATTGATCGCCTCAGATCGTCCGATCGGTTCGGGTCAGATCGGATTGTCTGGGATTGCCCCGATCTGAGGCAATTTGTCGATTGCGTCCCGAGCCGCGCGATCAGACGATGAATTTCGGCGAAGTAAGTGAGAATCAGCCGCGGGGGCTCTATGCTATTCACTCGTTCCTTCCCTGCAGAGTTGGCGACACCTGGCGAAATTTTGAATCGCGCAATTACAATGTAGCCCCTTTTGGGGGGCAGGCGCGTCTGGAAAGTTCTGATATCGCGATATCCAATGGTGCT